CCCTTTCCCTTTGGTAACTGTTAGTCCCTTCTTGGGATCTGTGAGTTTGCTGCTGTTCTGCTCATTCAGTTTTTTTTCTTTGTTCTTATGCTCCACACATGAGTGAAATCATTTGGTGCTTGTCTTTCTCCACGTGGCTTGTTTCACTGAGCGTAATACCCTCTAGCTCCGTCCATGGTGTTGCAAATGGTAGGAGTCGTTTTCTTCCTATGGCTGAATAATATTCCATTGTGTATATGTACCACATCTTCTTTATCCATTCATCTACTGAGGGACACTTAGGTTGCTTCCATATCTTGGCTATTAAAAATAGTGCTGTGATAAACAGGGGTGCCTATGTCTTTTTCAAACTGGGATGCTGCATTCTTAGGGTAAATTCCTAGGAGTGGAATTCCTGGGTCAAATTATTTTAATGCTTTTTCAACCACTTTAATGTTCTAGGGGGAAATTAACCATTTAAAAAAGACATAAAACCATATATACAATTTTCCTCATTTTGTCTCAGTCTCCAGAATGGCTCAGCACAGCATGTTCAACCATATATTTAAAATGATGACATTTTATCACAGATGTTTTGCATTCATTTTGAATTGTTAAAACACTGCATTAAGTGCTATTCATCTTGATAACAGGTTTTCAGCGCCCCTTTAAATTTTGTGAGTGCCATATACTTGCCTTGTGTCATCTTACAGGGACTGGTGGCTGGGAACGTCTGTGGCTGTCGCAATAGGGTTTGCTCCTGCTGTAGAGGGGGTGGGGGCCAGGGAGCCTGCTCGCCGCCCCCCGCATCCCTAGTGCCTAGGAGGGCCCACAGAAGATGGCCCCTCCCCATGTCAGCAGTGCTGAGCGGGGAGATCCTGCCAATGAAAGTAGAAGGTTCTCCACAGGCACCTTCTGGTTTAATTTCTATTTTTTTTGCTTTTTGGAGCTGGGTGGGAGAGGGTGTCTGCTTGGGGACTAAGCCAGGTGACCCTGGAAAAGGAGTTCCAACCGGGCTAACCAGGGTGGAGCCAGGCTGCCTGTCCCTCCCTCCAGGGTCTCCCGGCCTCTCTGCCTGCTAGCAGCTCAGGGCCCGTTGGGCCCCCATGCCAGCTCCCAGGGCCTCTGGCCTGGCACCTCAGGGACAATCCCAGGGGCGCTGCTGGGTGAGGCGAGGCCCTCAGAATGGCTGGCTGTGCTGGGGAGACAGGCTGGGCTGGGAGGGGTCAGATTTCCTGAGAAGCAAGTGAAGGCTGGCAGGGGCTGGTTTCCGGAGAGGTTGGGGGCATGTAGGATATGTTTGTGAAGGTGGGTCTTGAGATCCAATCTGCAACCTACCACCACCCACCCATCGGTGTGGTTCTAGCAACAGTAACAGGTATAGACAAAGGTGTGGAGACATTGGAGGCCATGTGTTGGTGGGAACGTGCAGTGGGGCAGCCACTGTGGAAGACCGTCAGGTGGGTCCTCAGGAAATCAAACAGCAACAGCACGTGACCAGCAATTCCACTTTTGGGCTTATACCCACAGTAACTGAAAGGGGGACCTGGGGACCCCTGACACAGGGAGGCCAATGCTTTCTCCTTCACAGTAGCTCACCTGGCTTCATGGATTACAATTAACATGTCTGTAACTAATTTTCAGACTATGAAACAAAGTTGTGCAGGCTTGAAGGAGATGCACCCAACAGTTTGGAGCACGGCCCTTACATCAGGTGGGGTCCTGAAGTCCTGGGTTCACACCTCGGCTCTGCACACAGGAATCCGGTGCCGGAAACCAGCCTTGTGACGTGGCGCCCGCCTGGCCACTTTGCTCTTTTATCTGTGAGGGCTCTGCTCACCAGAGGCTTATGCTGTCTGTAGCCAGCCCCATGGAGTACCCAGGAGGGAATGAATGCAATATGAGCTGGGCGTAGCTGCACTTACCTGAAAACTTTAAAATAAATAAAACACGTGACACCTGTCTGCCCTGGTCTTGGGTTTTGACTCGGGCCGCAGGCCTGATGCCGGCAGGGGAGATCGGGTGTGCGGATCACGCCGCTGCGTCCCTCGGGGGAGCCTGGGGCCTTCCCATGGCATCCTCCCCACCTATGCGGGGCCTGGACACCAAGGCAGGGCGGTCAGAGCCGCGTCCACGCGTTTAGCTTTTTCACGCGTTTTCCTTTCTTAAGCGCTTGCTTTGGGCCGGCCAGTGGAGGACCTGAGGAGGGCCCACGTGGACCCTCTGGCTGGGGAGGAAGAGAGGGGCAAGGGGGTCGAGGCTCCACAGGAGGGTCCTGGACCCCAAGGGCAGCAGGTGGCTGGACTCGTGCGGCTGGGGGGGCGTGGGTACCAACTCCGGTCTCTGAGGCGCCAGAGGAACGCTGGGTGGGACTCGGAGCGCGGGGGGTGGTCGCAGACTAGGCCCCGGGATGCTGGGAGGCCAGGGGGCGCCGAGGACGGAGGCCCGGTACCGGGCGAGCCTCCTGGGGATCCCGCGAGGACGCAGAGACGGGGCGCGACGAGGCCCCCTGGGCCGCTTGGCCGCGAGCAGGTTACGGCGCAGGTGCAGGGAGCCAGGACGTCGCGCTGACGCAGGCCGCGCGCTGATCGGCGTCACCGTCCCGAGGAGGGGCCGGGAGCGGCGGGGCGGGGCCTGCGGGGCGCACGCGCAGGCGAGGGCCCCGCGCGCGGGCGGGTGGGCGGAGCGGGCCCCCCGAGCGGGGGCTGGCGAGCGCGGGGAGGGGGCCGAGAGGGCGGCAAAGCGGGCGCGCGCCCGACTGGGGACGGAGGGCGGGGGCCCGTGGGCCGGAACAGCCGCGGCAAGTGGCGGCAGCGGCGGCGGCGGCGGCAGCTGAGGCGGCGGCGGCGGCGAGCGGGGGTCCCGGCGGCGGCGGCGGAGGCGGCGCGCCGAGGAGCCGGGCGCGATGGAGCGGAAGAGGTGGGAGTGCCCGGCGCTCCCTCAGGGCTGGGAGAGGGAAGAAGTGCCCAGAAGGTCGGGGCTGTCGGCCGGCCACAGGGATGTCTTTTACTATAGGTGAATGAACGTGCCGGCTGGGCAGGGCCCCAAAGGGCGCCTCCCAGCGGCCTCTGCGGCGGCCGGGGCGCCCCGACCCGGGCCGCGGCCTGGACCCCGCGCGTGCGTCGTGCGTGCGTGCGTACCGGTGCGCGGCGGGCCCGGGCCCAGAGCGCGTGCGTGCCAGCGCGCGGCGGCCCGGCCCATTGCGCGTGCGTGCGTCCCCCGCGCGGCCGCGTGGCGCGCGGACTGGCCCGGGGCAGGCTGTCGGCCGCCTTTGTTCGGCGGGCTTGCCGGTGGGGCGCCCGGCGGGGGTCGACGCCGCTGGGAGGTGGGGGTGGGTGCTGGGCTCTCCTTTTGACCCGGGCCCTCTCCGGGGAGCCGGGGAGGGCGTTCCTTGGTATGCAGGCTCCCGGGCTCTTCCCAGGGTGGCCGGGCCCCGGGGCGGTGTGCTTTCCAAGCGCCGCCCCTTGCCCGCCAGTGGGCTCCTTCCGAGGTTGCCGCCTCTTCCCGCAGGCCGGAAGGAGGGACTACCCTTGGCCTGGGGGCGGAGCGGGGCACCCGGGGCACCCCTGGGGGAACAAAGAAACCTTGGGAGGCTTGCAGGCGGCCGGCCTGCCACCTGCTGTTTGTCTCTTTCTGACCGGTGGGGGATGCTTTTGTTACTGAGCCTGCACCGGCAGTACCTCCCTCTGCCTCAGGACCCTGGGGGCCTTCAGGTCCCTGGGAAAACGGAAGCAGGTCACCTGCCACGTTAGTGATTGCCCCCGGGTGCTGGCAGTGGACCTAGAACCGGCTGGATGGGGCCCGATGGGGCAGCGCTGCTGCTTCTAACTCCCCCACCCCCAGTAGTTTGGCCCCACAGCCCGCTGCTGACCCCTTTGCAGGAGAAGTGAGGGGAAGCCCGCTGGGAAGGGGTGGCAGCTGGTCCAGGACTCGTTCGGGTTCAGGTTTATAAAAGGCGCAGAGGCAGCGACTGTTGGCTCCTGAGTGTTTACAGAAAGGGGCTGGGACCCTGAACTCAGCCTTGGAAGCAGTGGACTGCTAGCAGTGGCTGGTGGGGACACGTGTCTGCATTCCCCTTCCCTGCCACACCTGTGACGTCACTCCCTCGTCCTGGGTCGGCGAGGAGGCCTCAGGCCAGGAACCGCCTGTCTCCGAGATTCCAACCGAGCATGTGTGCTTAGTTCCGCCTCTTAGACCTAAAGGCGGAGGCCAGTCTCTGGTGTAGTCCCTTGTTAACCGAAGGTCGGGTTTCTCGGGGTTCCACCGAGAGGTGAGGGCGTGGGGTCCCAGCGTGCCCCAGTGACATGCCAGGCAGGTGGGTGTCATCCTCCCTCCCAGTGGGTAGGAGGCAGGGGGCACGTGATCTGGAACCTGTGGTGTTTTTTGGAATGTGGGTCCCTGACCTTACCACCCACTGGCGCCTCTGGAGAACCCAGTGACTGGGCAGGAGCCCGAGTAGATTTTCCTGTTTCAGTGCAGAGGGAAGGCAGTGTGGGGTCCATCCCATCAGACAGGCCTGGCCTCTGGTCCTCGCCCTGCTCCGGGGAAGATCAGGCCTCGGATTCCGGCCAGAGAGTGGGAGGGAGATTGTTCTAGCCGTGCACACGGTCACCCAGGGCCTCACCACCCGCCCCTCCACCCTGACTACCCTGGGGTGGGAATTGGACTGCGGCTGTTTGAAACACTCTATCCAGGCAGGAAATGGGGGACCGGTAGAAAGTTAGTACCCTGGCCTGGGGATAGCTCTTTTGGGTATGTGGACCAAGCTGGACTCCAGCAGGTCTGGTTCACAAGCAAGAGCTCAGTAGGAAGAGCAGAACATGCTGGCAGTTGGCTGAGCCGCCCTCACCAGCTGCGTCTTGCGTGGCCTGCTCCTCACATGCGAGGTGGGGACCCCATGTGGCTGACCTCACTGAAGCCCCCTCTGAGCCCTGCATCAGGCCCAAGGGTCGAGGCTCCACCACCGGCCCCTGACGGGCCAGTGGGAGGTCTGACATCCCAGAGCCGCTGCACCCAGGGCAGGCCTTCTTCCAGAGAAAGCCAGGCATTTGCTCACTTTCTATACACACCACTTTGTTAAGGTCTGTGAAACGTAAGGGACATCTTCCTGTGTCCATGCAGGTCTACTAAACCTTTTTTAAAAGTTGAGATCTAAGTTGTTTCCTATAACTCGCCTTGTAAAGTGTACAATCCAGCCAGTTTTAGTACATTGACAAAGGAGTGCAGCCATTACCACTGTGGTTCCAGAATGTTCTCCCCTCCCAGTGAGTCCTGTGCCAGTTAGCCCACTGCCCATCCCTCCCCAGCTGCGGTGTCCAGCGACGTGCTCTGTCTAGTACTCTGGTGACAGGCAGAGATGCTGGCCAGTGTTCTGTGGGGTCGCCCCTTGCCCTGGCCCCATGAATCTGTCCCCTGCCGTGCCCTGCGTACCCTGTCCCTGTGTCCCTTTGGCCTGGAGCGGCGTTGGAAGGGCAGAGGTGTGCTTACTTGAGTTAAGGGCTCGTCCTAGAGGTTCTCAGAGAACAGCTATGTCAGGCCGATGAGCAAGTGATGGAAGCGACTGTCCACTGAATTTGACCAGAAAGAATTGCAGGGCTCTGCCCAGTGCGTGCGTGGGGCTGCTGTAGCCCACCAGAAGCACCATCATTGTCACCACCGTGCCGCTGTCACCCCTGTCCCCGGCTCCCACGGGCCCACGTTCTGTCTGGATCCACCTGTTGGGGACGTGTCCCAGAAACGCGGGGTCACACTGTGTGGCCCCGTGTGTTGAGGGCCCGTCCACGTATGACATGTCAGGGCCTCCTGTCTCGGCTGCGTGATGCTCCGTGTGTATGTGTGGACGTGTTGTGTTAACCATCACCAGGTTATGAACACTTGAATGTGCCCTTTGGCTTTGACGAGCGTGCTGCGTGTAACTGGGCCTGAGTTTTTGCAGGAGGTGGGTTTTCGTTTCTCAGGTGTATCTCTCGGGGTCGAATTTGTTCAGTCACACGAATGCCAGGCCGTTTTCGCTGTTGCCAGGGCCCATGCTGGTCCCGTCTGTGTGCTGTCGCTGTATACTCACAGCAGCCTTGCAGATTGGCCTGGAGCTGCCTCGGGGGTGCCTCCTGTGGTGGCTCCCAAGTGAGCAGGGCTACAAGCACCCAGCTAGGCCTGCAGCACACCCAGGTCCAGCCTTTCCCAACAGCTGCTTGGGTCCCAGCCCCAAGTTACAATGTGAGGTTTTACAGCCCCTCACCCGACACCCCCATCCCAGCGCTGTAGCCACAAGTAGACTGCCCTTAGGGGTGAACCTCAGATATCTGCTGTCCTTGGGTCTTTTTCAAGAACACATTCTAACTCTTGTCTCTGGAATGTCAGCTGGGCCGGGCTCCCAGACTGGACCCCCACCCCTGCGGGTTAGGGCATTGGTCACGGCTTTGCGCAGGTATCTGTGCTGGGCCCTGGGTGGGAGGTGGCCCGCCTGCCCGCGCTGAACCCCCTCTGTCCTCAGCCCCAGCGGGAAGAAGTTCCGGAGCAAGCCACAGCTGGCACGGTACCTGGGGGGTTCCATGGACCTGAGCACCTTTGACTTCCGGACGGGCAAAATGCTAATGAGCAAGATCAACAAGAGCCGGCAGCGGGTCCGCTACGACTCCTCCAGCCAGGCCAAGGTGCGCCTGCCCATGGGGATCCCACCGAGGTCCTCTTTGCTGGGGGTGCGCTGTTGGCACCACGTTCGTTTGTCCTGGTATTAAAGTCATACTTAGTCATCGACAGAAACATGGAGGCTGCATAGAAACAGAAGATGACAGACCATGGCCATTCCATTCCCGGGAGAGGGCCGCCGCATGGCTGTTCCGGCATGTCTTGCACCTTCCCTGCCAGCACGGCATGGCCCGCACCTGCAGGGGACCCGAAAGCGCCCAGGGGTGCCGTGTCCATCTGCCTCTGATCGACACACATTTGGGGGACTTTGGCCCCATGCCTCCCTGGGCTGGGCTCGGAGGGGATTGAGACGGGGGGCTGGGCTGGGTGCGGCCATGTGGTGCATCCAGGGCCCCTTTGTGACCCACTGTGGGCAGTGAGTAGGCAGGGCCCGTGAGGGCTGCAGGGTCTCCCCAAAGCCCAGGGGTGGGGGTCCCTGCTGACTAGGAAAATCTGCTGCAGACTCCCACCCAGAGCCTCAGGAGGGGCCTCTGGGCTGCAGCGCCAGCTTGCGTATCTCCGCAGGGCAAGCCCGACCTGAACACGGCCCTCCCGGTCAGGCAGACAGCGTCCATCTTCAAGCAGCCAGTGACCAAGATCACCAACCACCCCAGCAACAAGGTGAAGAGCGACCCACAGAAGGCCGTGGAGCAGCCCCGGCAGGTGAGGCCTGCCCCCCCTCTCGGGGCGTCGGGGTGGCTTGTGCCCCCAGGTCCCTGCAGAGCTTGGTGTTCGCCCCAGAGCCATGTCTGTGGTCAGAGGGCTCAGCCCAGGGCACAAGAATTCCCTGTGTTTTCATGTGTGCGCACAGACGCACCTTCGATGGCCAGGGTGCAGGTGCCAGGCCAGAGCGGGAGCCCAGGGGGATGTGTCCACGGGGCCCTGAGTGGCGAGCCCCAGGGCGTTTGGGCCATTACCGTCCAGGCCACAGTTCATGAGCCCGCGTGTCTGTCTCCCCCACTTAGCACCACGCCTACTAGGATGCACCCCCAAGGTGAAGTTCAAGTACGTGAGCTGATTGGCCTCCTGGGGCCCTGGACCCCTGCCCGTACGGGGCGGCGCCTGGGCGTGGCATGGCTGACCAGCCATTTACCAGGACTCCTGGTGGCCTCAGCTTGGTTCTGGGTAGAGGCTTCCCCTCTGAACCCTGCTGCCATTGTGGAGGCGGTCTGGCCTCGTCGGGGCCAGCCATGCGGCAGCCCCCTCCCAGGAATGGAATGGCCATGGTCTGTCCCCTACTGGCTGTGGGACAGTCCCCTGGGAACTGTAAACCGTGACACTGACCACAGGGCTGACATCCTGGGTCTCTGTCCTGCCCCGAAGGATGGGCCCACAGCCCCTCGTTTCCCTCGGGGTCAGAGGTCATGGTGAGGCCACCGTCCCACACACAGATGGGCTCCAGCCATCGCCTGCTGGGGGCATGGCTGGTCATCCCATGGGCCTCATGTCTGTCTGTCTGGCGGCAGCTCTTCTGGGAGAAGAAGTTGAGTGGCCTGAACGCCTTTGACATCGCTGAGGAGCTCGTGAAGACCATGGACCTCCCCAAGGGCTTGCAAGGTAGCCCCGGCCGCCGCCCAGGGCGAACGGCCATCCATAGCCACAGGGCGGGTGTTTGGGCAGAGGTCAGCAAGGACAAGGGACCCACCGGCCTCCAGCTTCTGACCGGCCAGTTGGCCCCTGCTCCCTGCTCAGCGTCGGCGGCCTGGGCCCCGGCCCTGGGAGAGCCCGCGGGGCTGGGCGCCAGCAGGGCAGTTTCATCCTGGGGGTCCTGAAAAGCCCTGGGGTGTGGTCTGGCTCTCCTACTGTGACGCAGCCGCGTGGGGGCCAAGAGGCCAGAGCCCGTGCTGCTGGGAGCGGGGAGCACGCCCTCAGGGAGATGGAGCACAGCTGGGGGCTCAGCAGGGCGGGTGCTCGCCGTGACTGCCCCCCTGCGCCCGGCAGGCGTGGGTCCCGGCTGCACCGATGAGACCCTGCTCTCGGCCATCGCCAGCGCCCTGCACACCAGCAGCATGCCCATCACCGGGCAGCTCTCGGCCGCCGTGGAGAAGAACCCGGGGGTGTGGCTCAACACTGCCCAGCCCCTCTGCAAGGCCTTCATGGTGACAGATGAGGATATCAGGTAGCCGCCCTCCGCCCCCACCCTCTCGCTGGCCCGCGGCCGGCCTCCCCGCCATCGCCTGCCGCTAGCTGATGCTGTAGGGTTTGAGGGCGAAGGAGCCCCAGCAGGGGAATAGATGGGGACGAGGCCTCAGCTCAGAGCAGGCCAGGCAAAGCCTGCAGAAGGTGTGAGGTGCCCCGCTTCTCTCCTTAGGAACCCCTCGGGAGGAGACGGTGGCTTGCCCACATGGATGGGCCTGCCATGGGCAGTGGGCCCGGCGCAGTGGCGTGTGGCACATTGCAAGGGGCTGAGAGGCAGGGTGAGCCCACCCACCTGATGCCTGCTGCCTGCTGCCCGCCACTGGGGGCTGGGCCCTGAGCCCTGGGTGGCGGCTCTCAGAAGTATCTCCAGCCAAGCCAGGGTGCAGGTCTGGGGGAGTGGGGGGCAGCCATTTGCTGGAGTGCCTCGCGGGGGGGCCAGGGCCCGGCCAGCACACCTGCATGTGCACCTGTGTGTCCCCAGGAAGCAGGAGGAGTTGGTGCAGCAGGTGCGCAAGCGGCTGGAGGAGGCCCTGATGGCCGACATGCTGGCCCACGTGGAGGAGCTGGCCCGGGACGGTGGGGCACCGCTGGGCGAGGCGGGTGTGGACGACGATGAGGACGAGGATGACGAGGAAGAGGAGGGCCCCGACCAGGACCCAGACCTGGAGCACGTGTAGGGCGGGAGCCCCTGGGCGGGACCCTGAGGGCGCCCCTGTCCCAGAGCCCTGCCCCAGCCCCGCCCCCAGGGCAGGCTGGGCCAGGCCCTCCAGGGGGAAGGCGGCCCCTCCGCGCCTGGCATACCCCCTCCCTCGGGCCTCAGGGCTCGGCTGAGGGCGGCCCCCACCCAGCAGACCCCCGCATTTGCTCTTCTCTGAAGGGCCTGGTCTGGAAGTGCAGGTCGCTCCTGGGCCCATCTGCAGGAGGCCCGCCGGGGGCCATCGCCCCATGCCGGACTCGGGGACCCCGGCCTCACAGCCCACCCCACACGGCCGCCACCCTGAGCGCCTCACTCGGGACTGCTGCCACTGCACGGCCAGAGAGGTGGTTTTGAGACAGTCTTTGCCCCAGCGTGTCGGCACTCCGGCGGGTGCAGGACGGTGCCCGTGCCCCCTGGCCCGGCGGCGCTGACTGCTCGGAGCACCCGGAGCAGACGGCACGACCCAGACGTCTCCTTCCATGAACCTGCAGTGCAGATGGGCCGGCGTCTGTGTCACCACCGGACTAACCATTGGTGGTTGCCGCACGTGGACACAAACTCCGGCCTTTGCATCTGAAAACCGTGCTGCCCGTGGCCCTGCCAGAGGGTCAGCCTCCGGCAGCAGGACACCAGGCCAGGGGCACAGCACACAGGAACCCCCGGGCCAACCCCGTGTGCGTTGCCTCTCTAGCAGGCACAGTGGTGCCCGGCCTGTAGGCTCTGGGCCGTTTTGCTGCCTGGCCAGAGCTGGCACCGGGCACAGCTCCCCCACGGCTCCATCCCTGGGCCGCCTTCGCGGCTGAGCATCTCCAGGCGCCGGGCACCCAGAGCAGTGCCGTTAGGAGCTCCGGCCGAGAGGCTGTCACCGTCGTACTGCTCCACCGCCGTCCCGTCCGGGGCAGGGCTGCCGCCACGTCCTGCTCTGCCCCTAGCCACAGCCTGCAGGTGTCAGGACCTGGGTTGCTGCCTCATTTGTCAGACACCCAATTGTGGGGGTCGCTGCCCACCTGCTCCCCACAGGACATCAGGCTGATGGCATCCTTCCGAGTCGAGTCAGCACAAATCACTTCAGACCACGGAGGCTGCCTGCGCCTGTGGCCGTGTGACACGTGGCTGTGGTGCTGGTGCCGGGAGTCAGGGAGGCCCTGGCTGCTGATGGGGCTGCAGGGCTGGGTCCTGTCCTGTGGGTGGCAACTGAATAAAGCCATCATGTGTACCTGGTCTGCAGCCACGGTTCCGTTTAATTCTGAAGGCCCAGTGTGTGTCCTGAGTCACGGAGCCTCACCTGCATGTTCACGTCCAGGACCCGTGGCCTCCAGCTCCTGCACCCCGTTGGTCACCTTTTCGAGCTGGACCAGGAGGGACCCAGGGGCAGTGCCCGACCACACATTCAGGTCCCAGCTGTGTGAGCCAGCATGGAGGCCTCTGGAAGAGGAGCCTGCACAGTGGGGCCTCAGGCCCCCCAGGTCCCCCACTGCCCAGAGCCAGGCAGGTGAGCTTAATGCCAGATGTGCCCACATTGGCCCCTAAGAGACGGAGCAGTCAGCCCAGGCCCCCAGTGTCCCGGTGTGGAAAGGGGTCTGTGCCGGGAGCTCAGGGGGCAGCCCAGGGGCTCCTTAGGGCCTGGCATGGGGACCCCAGCTGGCCCTGCTGGCCTTAGCAGGCTCCCAAGGATTCTGTCCCCTCAGATCCAGCAGCACCCCCAAGCTGGGGCTGACTAGATAATGGACCCAGGTATCTTAGGCCACCCGGCTCATCCATCACTCCTACCACCCATGTCGAGTGGCGGGGGGCAGAGCTAGGAGAACCCTGAACCCTCACCTGCCTGCAGAGGCTCTGTCCTGCCCAGGGTGCGGGGCAGGTGGGTCCCCATCCCAGAGCTGGTCGGGGCTCTGGTGGCTGCTGCCCCCATACCCCTCCTGTACGGGGGTCTCTGTCCGTCTCACTGTCTCCCTGACTTGGAGCAGCCGCCCCCTCCACAGGCATTCCTTACGCTGCAGGTGGCCCTGCCTGCCTGGGACGGGCCCAGGCTGGCGACTTGCGCGGGCACAGCAGCTGGAAGGCAGTCAGGCCTGGCTGAGAACTCGGGTCTCCCCGACTCCGTGGCCCACGTGACTGGCTTCTTTGGGACCTCTGGGGGTCGGGCTGAGGGTGCATGCCCCCACCCTGCCACGGGGCCCCCGCACCCATTGCCCAGCCTGGCGCCCAGCTGTTGCCACCTTCTCAACGCGAGGGTCCCTCCTGAATTCTTCCCTCACCCCAGCGAGACCCTGTGGGCAGGGGCTGAGGCGGGGCCTGGGCCCGTCACGGGCGCATCCAGCTCCCCCGTCAGCGGGTTCCTGAGCCTTTAGCTCGGGTGTCCGCTCACCACACTGTTGTGCCTCCCGTGGCCGCTGCAGCAACACCGTAAACTTTGTGACTGAAAACAACACGATTCACAGCTTCAGGGTCAGAGGTCCTAAATCCAGGTGGGCAGGGCTGGCTCCTCTGAGGGCTCCAGGGGAGCCGTGTCCTCCAGCTTCCAGAGGTGCTGTGGCCTCAGCTGGAGACCCCTTCCTTTGTACAGCCGGCAGGGCCGCACCTTCCGTCTTTCTGACCCTGGTCCCCCTGCGTCCCCTGGACCCTTGTGAGGACCCGGGGTCCCCAGGAAACCAGCATCATCCCCATCTTGGGGCCCTCTGTGAGTCCCTCGGCCGCATCAGGGGACATGTCTACAGGCCCCAGAACTGGGTCGGGACGTTCCTGGGAGGCATCGGTTTCCCAGCCACGTTACCCTGAGGATGAGACCGCATCCTGCCCAGTGCAGCGCGGCCTCCGTAGCAGCTTCACTGCTTCTCTGCGCTCCGAGACTCGTTCCCACCCCCTGGCCTCTGGCCCCTGGTACTTCCAGGGGAACAAGCTGACGCTCAGCAGCTCGGAACTGGGAGAGCTCAGGATCCACCGAGTTTGAGGGAGGGGTCCAGGGGTGGTGACCCTGGGCAACGACTCCTAACAGAACAAAGCGGGAGTTTCCCAGCCAGAGAGGAGGCGCGGCACCCACCAGACCAGAGGGACCCGCTCACTCGAATGTCTTAACACAGTCCAGCGGCATAGCCACCAGTCCCAGGAGGTTTATTTTAGTTCAAAGTGGTCATGACCAATGAAACACATTCCTCTGTCGCACTGGCCACATGGGGCTGGCTGGTGGCTGCTGAAGTGGACAGAGCACATGGAGAGTCTCTGCACCATCCAGAAAGTTGTACTGGACAGCACCCTTCTACAACCAACCAGGATCTTCGTCTGGGGGGGCAGACAGCCCCTATAAGGCTTGGTCAAGATGCAAAGGACTCAAAGAACGGAGACACTGAAGTGTCCACTGAAGGCTGGCTGGACGCACGCCATGTCCATGGACACACAAACCACCACGCAGCCACAGACGGGCAGAGCCCTGACATGCTACACGTGGTGCTCACCTGAACACCCAGCGCTCGGTGAGATGCCAGACACAGGACGTAGCGATGTTAGTTTTCTGTGTCCCCTGGATGGGGCTGCAGGAAGCAGAGAGAGCTGGTAAAACTCTCTCTGGGCGCATCTGTGCAGGTGTTTCTGGAGGAGATGAGCATTGGATTCAGGCTGCCCAGTAGAGATATGGGCCCTTCCTGTGGGGTGTCACCTGATCCATCCCAGCCGGTTTGGGTCAGAAAGGCAGAGAAGTGGGCCCAGCCTCCCTTCTTGAGCCAGGCCACCCATCCTCTCCCACCCTCAGGCATCAAAAACCCCCAGTTCTGCAGTCTCCGGGCTCGGACTGAATTATACTGCAGGCTTCCCGTTTGCAGCTTGCAGACGGCAGACTGTGGGACTTCTCAGCCTCCACGGCCCCATGAACTCCTGTCAGTCTCTCCTTATAGATCCATCTCTGGACATCCCATTGGTTCTTTGTCTCTGGAGACCCACACTGCACCATTTACATGAACGTGGGAAGTAGGTAAGTCTGTGGACACCAAAGAGGGTTCAGTTTCCAGGGGCTGGGAGCTCACCGGGATTGGGGGTGATGGCTCGGAGGCATGGGGTTTCTTTTTTAGGTGATGATAGTGTTCTAAAATTGGTAGTGGTGAGGACTGCACAACTCTTGAATTTTATTAAAAACTGCTGAACTGTCTACTTTTAAAAGGATGAATTTTGATGTGCAACGATCAGATCTCCGAAAAAAAAAAAAAAAAGATCTCAGGGTAGGAAACCTGAACTCCACAAAGAACCTGGCCCTTGAGTTGTGAGAACCAGCCTAGAGGGACACAGGGTCTCCGGGTGGCCATGGGGGACAGCAGGAGGCTCTGCAGGGGGACCATGAAGGCGTGTGGTTGCAGTCACCTGGCCAGGAATCTTTAAAAAAATAATAAAAAGATAAAAATTAACTTAGGCTGAGAGCAGGAGACTTGCCACAAGAGAGAGGCCAAAACAATTCTATGTACACAAGGCTGCAGGAGAGCAAACCTGGCCAACAGCCACCGGGGCACAGCCCGGCGAAGGCATGAGCTTCCCCAGGCACCGGGTTATGGCTCGTCCACAGTCACCTCGAGCCCACCCCAGATCGCCTGCGGTGAGCACGCATTGTTCTGATGACAGCAACTGAAACGGGAATTGCCCATGGAAGGCAGGTGTGTGGTCTTACCTTCTATCGCAAAAAGATTTTTTCCCCTGAAAAGTTCTTTCACAATGTGACCGCAGATGGGGGAAACCACTGCCCCCCCAACCTCAGCAGGACTGCAGGAGGAGCCAAGTGCCGTGCCAGCAACAAGGGCAGCCACGCCACACCCACACATCCCGTGAGCCAGCCACCTTGATCACTGCAGCTCCGCCAGACACCCTGAAGATTTTTAAGATAGATGCATATACTTAGAAGAGGCCAAACGTCATTACAGTCCTCCTGACGGGAAAGAGCTGCACCCAGCCCTGCACCCCACGGACGAGACCCCCTTTCAACGATTTTGATGCTTTCTTCCGGCATGTTCTTCCATGTCTCTTAAGACATTTGTGCTGCCCTTCCTTTTCCCATCTGTTTATTTCTTGTTCCCCACCCAGCCTCCAGCCCCCCTGCACCCATGAGCCACGTTCTGTCTGTGGATCCACCTGTTGTGGACGTGTCACAGAAATGGGGTCACCCCGTATGCCCTCATGTCTGGCGTCTCACTGAGCACCGTGTGGTCGGGGCCCGTCCACAGTGTGGCTCATGTCAGGACATCACTCCTTTTCATGGCTGCGTGTTGCCCCACGTGTGGGCGGACACGCTGTATTTATTGCAGAGAGCAGGTAAAGCAGAGCCCCAGGTGCCCACCCAGCAGGCCCCCTCCATGTCCACCTGCTCTGTGCTTTACAGGGTTTTGACGCTGTTCACATCCACAGACATTTCCAAATGAATCAAAGGACATTTTTTTAAAACTTAAAAAATATTTTTTTACTATGAAAGGTTTCAAAATACACCAAATAGACAAATGAAGCCCACGTGCCAACAGCTGGCCTCACCAATGGTGTGCACACTGTCTCCCAGACGCCCCCCCCACCATGCTTCCCTTGTGTATCGTCCTAACGTTCTACTGGAATTTCCAGACACAGAGCTGAACTGAAGGATCTCACAGTGGCCATGATGCGCCCCCACCCCGACCTACGCCCCCTACAGACTGGGGAGCATGGAGGTGCTTCTGAGCTGGGGTCACTGCACCCAGGGACCATGTCTGGAGACATCTTGGCTGTCATGCCTGGGGAGGTGAACTGATTTAGAACAAGTCAACGTGACTTGAATTGGAAGAGTCTTTGCAGATATAATTAATTAGTTAAGATGAGGTCACACGGGAGTGGGGGGTGGGGCACTATTGCATTAGGGATGATGTTCTTATAAAAGGGGGAAATGTGGACAGACACACAGGGAGAAGTTCATGTTGTGACCAAGGCAGAGACCAGGATGATGTGGCCACAAGCCAAGGAATGCCAAGGACTACTGGCTGCCACCAGAACCTTTAAGAGGCAGAAGGACCCTCCCCTGTAACCTTCAAAGAGCGAACAGCCCTGAGACACCAGTCAAACCCCTCATATGATCCCAGCCCCACTTTCCAGAGCCTCCCACTCACTGCTCAACACTTGGGCTTCCTGCCCCTCACCTTCCTGTGACAGCGCCTGTTTCTTCATTTACTTACTCCTTCGTTTTGCTGGAGTGCGTCCTGCAGTTGCCACACGGTCTGTGAGGCCCTCACCAGCCGGAAGAGCATCTTGATTCCTCCACACACTTGACACAGACTTCGGCGTCAGCCGGCACTTCCCCCAGGGACCCGGACCCTCCTGATGCTTCGGGATGCGACCTGGAAGCGCGTAAGGGTCCATCCTGACGTGCTCCCAGGGCCAGTTGTGCAGCCCTAGCTGTCAGGAGACTCTTGGATTGCCCTGTTTTTCCATTCCCACCGTCTTTTTTGCTTGGCCTTCTAGATCTCTCAGACTCAATTCTTCCCGCCTCCTGCTGAAGTTTTAATTCCAGCTGCTGTGTCATTAACTCCCAAGCCCTCGCATGTTCTCTCTTGGCCTCCCATTGGCTGCGTGCCTGCGTGACGAGCAGAGCCTGCCTGCCTGTCACCCCCCTGCCCAGCTGCCCGGGTGTTTCCAGGTGACAGCTCAGAGCTGGGGTTGGGTCGCTTCTGCCAGGGCTCCCTGTGGAGGGAGGGGAGTGGGGCTCGGAGGAGGCCCTGGAAAGCAGAAAGGCAGGCAGGAAAGGGAGGGCTTGAGCTCAGGGCACAAGCCAGCCGGCTGGCCTGCAGACCTACCCCCAGGGACTGGTGGGGTCAGAACTTCCGGAAGTTATGCATGTGTGCATGACCCGCCCCCCACACACACACAGGTGCACCCCAGGACAGGCCAGTCTTCCATCTGTCACCACCAGCCCAGATAGGGGCTCTACCCAATCCTGGCCTCTTCCCACCCCACCTTGTGTCCTGCTCCCACCCTCAGCACAGGGCAGCCCACCTGACTCCACCCAGATGAGGGCCCAGGAAGGGTCAGCCCACGCCAAGGCCTGGCCCTGTGCAAGGGTGTGGGCGGTGAGCGGGTCCAGGGGGTCCAAGGATACTAGGGGGGCCTGGGGCACCAGCTGCAGCCCGGGATGCCGTGGGGAGAGGGGTCGCTGGAAGGGTGCAGAGTCCCATGGAGAGGGGACTAGGCCTCATCATGCGGTGATTAATAGCTCCAGTGTTGCAGTGGGGCGAAGAGAAGTCCACGACCCCACGACAGGAACTTGGGTTGGCCGTGACATTTCAGGGTGGGGAAGGGTTCCAGGCACCGGGTCCGAGGCAGGGAGTGGGGGCGTTCACGGTGGTGGTGTGGTGGGAACCTCTCATAGAAGACAGAGCCAGCGGGGGGTGCTGTCCGAGGGGGGAGCTACATGGGGAGACCGGGGAGAGGCCAGAGCTGGACAGAACGAGCAGAGGGCGCCTCCCCGCTCCCGCCGGTTTGTCTTGAGAAACCCCACAGGAGGGAGCCGGGGGCCTCCTTCCCCCGAGGGGGGG